CTCCCTCTCCTGCTCGCCCCTCTCCCCCTCTCCCCCTCTCCCTTCCTCCTTCCTTCCCTTCCTTTCCTTCTCCCTGAATTCTATCCCTTTCCCAGGCAACCTCTGAAAGCCTGTGGAACATGGTACTTGGGAGAATGTGCAGTCCATATTTGAGAAGACCTCATGGAAGGAAAAAATTTTTCTGTTTTAAAAGGAGTATGTGATTATAGTAGATCTTGTTTAGAATATTATAGAGGTTATAGGGCACTCAGTGGGAAATATAAAAGTGGGAAGCTTATTCAGTGAAAGAAGGTCAGTGTTTCATTGAGTTTGGTATTTAGGAATCAAGAGGTGATTATTTGGGGCAGCAATGAAGAAATGCAGAATGAAAGTCATAAAAGGTTCTCCTGCCACAGCATTATGACATGAACACTGGTGTATTAATTAATGCAACTCACATTTATTGAGGATTTGCTATGTGCTGAGGCATCCCGCCTCCCTGCTTTCTTTCCATGTAGGTCCAGGCTCTGTGTGTTCTTTAAGACTTATTGATATTCACTATTTACTTACCAGCCAAGGCTGCAAATAGAACTTTACTCTAATATTTGTTTCTTTTCTTCATTGACCATACTATATTCTGTGTGAAAGTCGGTGGCATAAGCGTTAGGGTAGGACTAAACCAGGATGGAAATGTCTGGAGTGCATGTAATTGTCCAGTTTTGATCAAGCTTGGCTAAGTGCTCAGCATTGTGCCAACAGAATTTGTTATTATAATGGATATTAAGAACATAGAAACCTGGAGTCAGAAAGGCCACTATAGATCTGTCAGTGCAAACTACAGCCCTACCGCTCTCCCAATAAAATAATGAGAAAAGTAAGGCCCAGAAAATGGAGATGCCATGGGTACAGTCAGAGATGGTTAGTGTCAGAAGCAGGGATAAAGTCAGTTTCCCAGTTCCTAGTGTAAGACCTCTTCCATTGCACTGTTTCAGAGACATTTGCTATTCACAAGAAACCAAAGAAGCAAAGCAGAACAAAAAAATATTGCCTCTTTTGGCTGAGCCAAATGATTGCCTTATTTTAGACATTGCCTGTAGCCATCCTGTCCCAGCTGCAGAAGCTCAGGTTCATCTTTGCCTTTTCTTACAGGTTTGTGATCACCCGGCCAACCAATGAGTTTAAGCTGCTGCCCTCAGATCTTGTGTTTTGTGCCATCCCTTTCAACAGTTCTTGTAACAAAAAGGATGTTACTTTATATGAAGGTCCATATGAAATTATAAACGTAACGCCACTGACATCAGAGGCACCTACAGACATAAACCATCCTCCCACAGTTGAACAGAAGACAACACAACCATTGAATACATCAATCTATTCTTTGGAGCCAAAAACTGTCCTTGTTAGTGATTCTAAACAAGCCATTTTGACTCAGAATGGTAAACCATTACCTCAGACACATCTAGGTGAAACCAGGAAGGAAAATGGAAAGGCAAACATGAAGAATACCATAGGGGACAACACCTCTGCATATCCAAAGTCACACTAGAGTTGCTGATATTCCCCACAAGCTCCTAGCTTCCTACGTACAGGACATCTCCAGAGATGGTGACTGAACAAGGAAAATAAAAATGGAAGCATGCCATTTTCATGCCCATTTCTTAGTGGCTGATCAGCAAGCTCACACTATTTGGGAAGAAGCAAAAGGCTGATCCAATCCCACTGGATCTGGTGAGATAAATAAAGAAATACATGATAAGTGACTCTGTAAGGAAAGTTCATTGCTCTGTGTCTTTTGAGTAGGAAACATGTTAGTTTGAGCTGTGTTATAGAAGTTCTTCAGCACTTGCTGGGTTCCTCCAGTCAGGGAATATAAGTAATCAAAATAAAAATAGACACCAATGACAAAAAAATAAAGAGCCCCCCAAATCAAGAATCTTACATTCTTTATCCTCAAACAGGCAAATAGTAAACTAGTATATTACCCCCTTCTCCTTTTTCCTCATGTTTTTTCTTTCTTCATCTCTCTCTATAGGAGGTGACAAAGACCCAGATGGGAAGATGCCAGTTTGAACTGGAAACCAATTTGTGTAAAACTAAGACCTAAGTATATGCCTGGCACAAGAATGAATATAACACTGGGATGGGATAGATTGAAATATATCAGGTAGCTTGAAATATAACCTCCAAAATTCTCTAATTCAAGAATAAAAACATCATGGCATAAGAAGCATAAAACATTTCCCCATATTCCAAAAGGAACCAATACACTGTTCTATAAACCTTATCTTCAATTAAGTCATTTCATCTGGGTATTACTGTTAACACAGTAAACAGAAGTTCAGGACATCCAGGAAGCATTTACTGCCAATTGGTGGTCTTATAATGATGAGCTTTATGAGTTTTATAAACAATGTCTTCTTGTAATGTAGATACAAAATATAACAGATATAAGAGAAAAGGAAAGAAAAAATAAACCATATTTCTCATAAATTATTTTATATAATGTTTATGATATCCTTGACATTTTAAATACTATCTTTGCTGATTTGGTATTATTACTTCCACTTTACAAAGGAGGAAACTATGTCATAGATAAAGTTGCCAAATAAAGTATACCCAGTTAAATTTCAGACAAGTAACAAATTTTTAGTTTGTGTCCAAATTATTGCACTTAGCTAGTAAATAATCAAATCAATATTTAAACCTGGTTTATTTGACTCCAGCACTTATACACATTATGCCTCCAAGCACACAAATAAAAGAAATAAAACAAAACCAAATAAAAAAAATTCATCCACAGGAAATAAAATTTTGTATTAGTTAAGCTTTGGTTATAATGAAATCAACTTAATTTACTTTTCCTGGAAAGAGTGCAATGTGTGCACAGGGCTGGTTGTTCGCAGAGAAAGTGCCTCTGGTGTTGGGAGGGGTCCCAGTGAGTCAGCAGGATAGAGGAAGCAGAGCTCAGACCAGTCAGATTCAGATTTGTCTGTGTGGGGCAGGGCTCAACACAGGAAAGATGGCACCCGCCCACTGGGCAGCTAAAAGGGAGGAGAACCCCACCCAGAGAAAATGGCAACTGTATTCCAGCCCTCGCTACACAGCCATATACCTCAGTCTGTCCCCCGTATGTGTCCGACACCCCCTGAGTTACTGTTCTACTGCCAGAGCCCAAGGTAAGTAAGTGCCTGGGAGTGAGAGAGTCTGTGCGTGGGCCATTTAAGAGGATGTCTGGCTTTCCTGCAGTCTTCTGTCCCTCCTGGATGGTCAGAATCTCCACTGTTTTTCACAGTCAGATATTGTGGGGGCTCCTATTCCTGGCACCAGTACTCTGGGCTGGGAAAACTGGTTTGCAGCTGAGGTCCCTCCTCAGGGGGAACCCCATGGCTGAGATATCCCTCCTGGTTTTCAACTGTCACATAGAGTCTTGGGGCTACCTCATTTTGCATCTCCACCTTTCCTACCAGTCTTGACGTGGCTTCTTTTTTATATCTTTAGTTATAAAAATCCTGTTCAGCTAGATTTCAGATGATTCTCCAGGTTGATTGTTCTATAATTTATTGTAATTTTGATGTGTTCACATAAGGAAGCATGCACAGTGTTTATCTACTCCACCATCTCGAATGTCCTTTTTTCTCTTTTTTCTTTTTTAAGCTTGGCTGTCTTCTTCATCCTTCTCTTTTTACAAACTAACCCTCTTTGTTTTTCCATGTACATGGCAAAATATATTTTACTGCAATTCCAGATTCATAGGAAGATTTATAGGTGCATGAAAGATATAACTGACCTATCTCTGAATCTTAAACCCTAATTTCTAAAAGCAAGTATGTATTGGGCTTAGCTTTGGCCACTCCATCCCACTATCAACAGCTGAGGAGCAGGGTGCCTCTGAATGGAGGACTTGTTTTCACTGAAGAAAGGGAGGATGGTTCATGGCCTGGGAAGACATGCTACCAACATCTCCTACAAAGACAGTATCATTCTTTCTCTCCATTCTCTGGGCCATTTAATATACCAGCTTTTAATGGTTACACACAGGTGTGGGACCAGCCAGTTCTGTGTCTCTGCCCCTCCTACCAGTCTCGAGGTGGCTTCTTCTGCACATCTTTAATTGTAGAGCTTCAGTTCAGCAAAGTTTTAGGTGATTCTCAATGATGGTTGTTTTGTAGTTTAGTTGTAATTTTGATGTGATGGCAAGAGGAGATAAGCACAGCATGTACCTGCTGTACCAATTGACTGGAAATTCTACAATTTATTTTTGTATAAAATTAATTTTTGGATATGTATCTCATCTCCTGTAACCTTGGTGAACTCATTTGTTAGTTTTAATAGTTTTTTGGTATATTCTTTAGGGTTTTTCTATACAAGATCATGTCATCTGTGAATAGAGACAGTTATTTTTTTCCCTTTTAATACAGCTGTCTTTTATTTCTTTCCCTTGTCTAATTGTCCTGGTGGAACTTCCAATACAGTGTTGAATAGAAGTAACAAGAATGGATATTCTGGTCCTGTTCCTGATTTTAGAGAAAAAAACTTACAGTCTTTCTAATATTAAGTAAGATGCTAGCTGTGGGCTTTTTCATACATGCCTTTTATTATGACAAGAAATTGTCTTTAATCCTAGTTTATTCCATGATTTCATGATGAAAAGGTGACAGATATTGTCAAATGATTTTTGTGTGTGTACTGAGATAATCATATGCTTTGAAAATTCTATTGATATCCTATGGTGTATTACATTATTTCATTTTAGAATGGTTAAATCAAGCTATATTCCTGGGGTAAATCCACTTGTTCACAGTGTATAACATTTTTTCTATATTTTTGGATACATTTTGCTAGCATTTTGTTGAGGAGTTTTTCACCTACATGCAAAATAATAAAATAATGTATAAGGGATATTGACCTGTATTTTTCTTTTCTTGTGATGTCTTTTCCTGGTTTTAGTATCAAAGCAAAACAGGCTTCATAGAACGAGTTAAAAAGTGCTATTTTTAATTCATAGATTTGTTTATCAGCTAGATTAAATGAATATTATCTATTTGTTTTAGGCATCTGAATCCTAAGTATCTGAAATGAGTATCACATACAAAAGTGACATTCAACAGAGTTTGACTGAAATCTGTACACAAGTATCTCATGAATAGATTTTGGTAAAACTAAAACTAAATTGAAGCTTAAAAAGCTAATTTAACTTAAAAGAAGAACAGAATCCACAAAGCTGTTAAACTTTTCATACCACATAACTTCTATAAATTTTATGGGTAATATTAATAAAAACAAATTTGGGGGGAATTTGATAATTTCACCAAATTGGATTTTTGTATTTAAAAGCAAATGTTTTTAAAGCTGATAAAATTGGAAATTTTGGTGAAGCGACTTTTGGGTAGCTATATCATTGGGTGAACTGTCTTTGATAAATACATTTTCAACTAATTGCCTAGTTTCTGGATGCAGGTAAGGATCAGGAAGGTAGGTAATTGGGAAGACTATGCTTACAGCCCCCCACTTTTTTTTTTTTTAGAAGTAACAGGTAAGGTTAAGTGCTGATAGTAAGAGATGGTGATCCAAAGAGTTTAAAAAACAGTGGAGAAAGTTTGCAGGAGTGAAAGCGATGAGAGGATTAAACAATCTAGGCTTACTGAGTTGTGTTCAGGGCCCAGCTCTGTTGATTCCAATTCCAATGGTTGTATGATATTATTTTGTTCCTAGGAGCTCTCGGTAAAGACAGCAAAGGAGTAGAGAAATTTGGTGATTAGTAAGTGGGTGGAAGAGGAAGACATGGGGTTAAATAGGGGCTGCCATGAGAATGGATGAAGTGTTGGATCATAACATGTAGGCCAGTTGAAAATGAAGAAAGCCCTGCTCACACAGGGAGAAAAGAGAGAGTTCAAAGGGCTGGAGTTACAAGAGGATGAAAGTTTAATGTGTTTGCAAGGGGGTGAGAGAGCCACAGGCAAGAAGGTGGGTTTACAGAGTGAGATTCTGGAGGGTAAAACTGCAGAGGTAAAGTAGATCTATGAAAAGGTCAAAGGCCTAGTAAACAGTGGAATGGATAGATGGGTTTCAGGAGGAGAGAACAATAAAAAAAAAAAATTCACTACTGTACACCTATTGACCAATCTGCTTAGCATCTCAATCTCAGTTCTCCAGAGTAAAAACTCATCCCATAAATTATCTCAATTTCAATACAGCAGAAAAATTAGAATGAGAAATTCTTTATTCATATTTTAGGGGAATGTGTACCAGAAATATGGCTAATGAGATATTGAGTTATATGCAACTATAGCCAATGTGTGAGTACTCATGCTAACAGTATGGATACATAAAACTGGCAGAGTGCCCCAGACTCCTGTGCCAAGTGATTCTATAACTTCAGAACCAAACCCTTTATCTATGGATGGCAACACTTTAATACAAATTATAACACTAGATCCTTTGGCAATATCGTGGATACCAAATTCATAATGATTGTTCTAGTCTTATTAATGCAAAAACTGATATAAAGACAAGAGAAAACATGCAAGCAACTTAACAGTTCATAAA